GGGCTCGGCTTATTAGTTTCTGGCGTTCTCGTTGTTACGTTCTCTGCTCACTCCTGCTTATTTGATTTGTCTGGAATGTGACTGTTCTATTCGCCTGGATGGAATTTCACATTGACCCCCTCTCACCCTTCTTGCACCCCCTCTTCTGCTTTGCATGAGGTTTGAAACGCAGCTCTTGTTTGGCTGTCCTTTTCCTTGTCGGACTTTTCCTTTCACCGGCTCTCGGTTTTCCTGCCTGCAGACAGCTCCTGTGATCCTAACGTTCCCCCAGACCCCTTTTCCGTCCCATAGGCTGTACAATTCCACCGCCACCACTGTGTGAGTTTTGTCTCCTCCGCGCCCGTTTGCATGCATGGTCATCCATTTCGAGTCATTTAGCCTTCCTCAAACGCTCGAGAGGCACTCTAACATCTCAGCATAATTTCCGCACTCACACCTTCCTTTTTGGGTCCAATGTCATTTTCTACATGGAATTCCGCTGAAAATCGTGTTTAGCTGATTTCTTTTGGAAAGAATCAGCCCGGCACATTTGGCCCAATATCGCACCTCTTTTTCTGAGAAGGAGTTGCTGCCGATATTCTTGTTGACACTGGCTGGCCAATGTCCGATGTTTTGTTTTTCGACGATGGCTTTCACACCGTAACCAACTAGACATAGAGACACGGAATCACTCTAGATTAGCGTTTCTCAGACCCGATTAGCACCAATGTTGTGAGGGGAATTAGCCAGGGTCTCGTTGTAGGTATTCATTTCCAAGTTGTTTTCGCCTCCTGTCCAAACTATTTCTCAACTTTGTATCGACGGTAATTCGACAAATGCCCCCCTGTGGCGTCATAGTAGCCAAACATTGGAAGCTTGGACCACTGTAAGATCACGGTTCATTGATCTCTGGGTTATCAGTGTTAAAAGTGGCTTTGCACATCTACTCATAACTGAATGTTTCACTCAGTGACCACTGGTTAGTTCTCGTGCTAGACCCTGAAATTGGGTGGTCAGTCTCATGCTTGGATCTGCCTACCTGCCAACAGTTAACATCTTGATTGATAGTGAATGCCCCATCAGGCTGACAGTACAGGTACTGGCTAAAAACCCTGATACATGTTTCGCCAATTTTGTGCAGCTGTGAGGGGGTTCGGTTCATCAGCGAGTCCCCCAGCGTCCCCCGTGTGCTTTCTGGTACTTGAACTTCGGTTTTCATACCGTCTAGTTGCATTTCCGTGGTAATTAATACGCGAACCTGAAGTAAATCCATTGGGAAAAAACCGTTTTTGGGCTGGACCCGGAACTTGACAGGAATATTTTAGCAGGAATCCACCAGCTACTACGTAATATTCACAAACTTCTAACAGACAGCCAGTAGTATGCACGTAATGAATGACCCACCATAATGTCAGCACAGGTACTTGCTAGACAACCTGACAAATAATGTATGCCTGCCCGGGGTCTGCCGTTGCCCACTGCGGCACTGTGCGACTCGTTGCGCTGCGACACCGTTTGACCATAGATTCTAGTCTCAGGTAACGGGCCACCCCGGTGTTTCTGCTATATGCGTTAGCACCCTCAAAATAGTTACTTGGACATTAAACACCTACTGCCACTCGTGAACTTTTGGGCCCGTCTGTGCATTCGATAACTGAGTCTACTTAGGACATGAATCAATTACATGCCGCACTTTTCGGTTGTGCAGGTTGCATACTCATTCACTACATCCAATCGGGTGTTCAGTCGCCTCTAATTACTTTTTTAACTGGAATTCGGTGGGAGTGCGTCGTCCAGTGTTGCTCGGGTCATGTCTCTGATTGTCCAGCTCCCTTCATCTGGGTGAGAATGGACCTCGTCGACCATTGCGATTAAAATACTGCGTCAAACACCGAAATGGCTGGCCTTATTGCGTCAATAATCTTATGTCGTCCCGCAAACTATGGTCCGGAAGAAATCAGAGGGTCACTTTTTCTGACGAAGTGTAGTTCGTGGCGCCGCAGTTGCGTGTCGACCCTGGAGACACCGGCAAGGGTACGAGTCAGGGAACCGGTCGGCCTCATCAGTCGTCCTTATTGGGGTCAGAGCGATGTTGACGCCGCCTATGTAACGGTAGCCTTCGTTGGAACAAACGGACTTATTGGCGAAGCGCAAAGCACCCAATTTCGTCACCAGCCATGTATGTCACTGGATGCTAGTGAAATCGCTCGGGTTCCCCTTACCATAGTCTAGACCTCGCGCATTTCGTCACCGACGATGATGTAATGGCAGTCCTCTGGGAGGCATGTGCGTGTGGTGCTGAGGGGCCACCTGTTCATCTGACGGGAAGTGTGCGCTCGCAAAGCTGCACACTCGTCGTTGGTCCCGAAACCCAACTTTCTACCGTGACCTAAATTCACTGCAGCATGCGCGGCGGTCATGCTCCTCCTTCCAACCGCGTTCTGTATTCGAACTTGTTTTCGATGAAGATCATGCAATTTTCGGCCGCCTATGAGGCTTTACTATTATCCTCTGTCATTGGAGAATGCTTTCCTATCTGTTTTGACATTTAAGGCTCAGCAAATGTTTCTACAGTTATCAAGAGGGATACTAATTCCACTTATTTATTGCGTTTCAACTTTCCTCCCACGAAAAGGTGACTTTTCTGCTTCGACAGTCTAGTTACTTTGCCGAGTCGGCACCATTTCCTCTTACCCACAGGACTTTCGTTACGTTGTAAAAGAGTGATGTCGCTCGTTGACTATGCGCCTGGTTAGATGTAGCAAAGTTAATTTCCCCTTCTATTGTCTGAGACGCTTTTCTGACGTTGAGATGACAGTGGTTTTGTGATTCACCTCCTCCCCCTCCTCTATGCTGCGTATTCTGCCCCAGCAGATGTCCCTATCCCTGTGAAGGTTGTCTGCATCAAACTGCTGTCCTCTGGTTTACATTCGCCGTAGAATTAACCCCCCTCCCGCCTACTCCTAACTGCAGGCTAATAGTTGAGGCAACTTTTTTTCTTCTCAGGCCTCGCGCCTCTAACCCCCTCTTGGCTTTCTTTTTCCCCCTCATCGTGACTCGCCGACTATGTTTTGATGCTGGGAAGTCGCGTATTCTCCTGTCTCTTTTTCATCTCCCTCCCCACTCTTTGCCTAATTCTCCTGCTCATCGGTCTATGTAGGCGTTAGCAGCGGCCGTCGCCGCTGCCTCGGCAGCCTCGGGGAACATTGCGACAGCGACCCAACAGCAGCAGCAGCAACAACAACAGCTTCATCTGTTACTGCGGCTCCAGCAACAGCAGCAGAACGGTCCCACTGCGGCGACGGCAGCGGCCGCGATTGCGAACCTCTACGCAGAGGCCTCCATGGGCGGTGGCGGCGCCATGAGGGCAGCAGCAGCAGCTGTGACGACCTCACCCTCCGGCGGTGGTTTAACGACGACGCAATCAGTAACTGACGCAAATGCAGCAGCGGCCGCCGCCGCCGCCGCGGCGACTAGCCCTTCGCCGGTCTTGGCCGCCATTGCCGCTGCGCGGCAACAGCAGCAGCAACAGCAGGAACAGTTGCAAAAGCAGTTGGCGGCTGTGCAGGTGAGTGTGAGCCCGGTGTCTTGATTCGCCACCTCCTGCATAAATTACGTTGCTGACGATATGCGTTTGTCGCTGTAGTACGTTCGGTTTCACTTGAAGTTCGTTGCATGCTGCTGCCCAAGACAAGCAGTCCTGGATTAGCCCCACCCGAATTGTCTGTGGGGGGGAATCTGTCTTGCGCTTCAGTAAGCGGACTTTTTGGTTAGCTTGGGCATTAATTTTATGCGCCACCTGTCGTTGGTTTTTTACACTAGTTTTTGGCTGTGCTTGTATCTTCCTGACCGGCATCTTCCTTTGGACCGTTGTACGATATTGCCATTGCATACTTTTTACGAGACGCACATTCTTCGGTGGCGTATAACATGTTTTAAGCCGCTTTCTGTATCTGACGAATTTGACCTATGACAACAAGCAAAAGCACATGTTCCCAGAGACATTTGGGGGGAAAAAGACACAGTTGCCCCAGTCCAAAATGTCAGACGAACTAAATTTATTCCGGCGCTCGCGTCCTTTTCCCTTCTTAGTCGTTTTTTGCAATCCTCCGAAAAAGCGAGCGTGCTTTGAGTGGAAAGTCGGCTGTAAGGCTGCTGAGGGTACTTATAGCACTACCAGGATATTTAGTGAGACTATTGCCAATAAAATACACAACGAGACCTTGCTTCAAACAAATTTAACGATAGCTAACACAGCCATGGAGGTAGTGGTTGCTGCGGGCCCCTCCTATCCCAGGACAGAATTTAAAGCCTTCGTTCTTTTGAAATTGTCCTGTGCTTTTTGCTCACAGCAAAGGTGATTCACTTTTGCATCGTACTATAATGCACAAAGAAGAATACGTTCTTTTTGTCATTGTCGTCGTTCAACGCACTGCCTTCGCAAAAATAAAGTTCCACTGAAAGTCATAGTCACTGTTCGGTGGTTTTAATCGGACGTCAACCATAGCCGCCTCAAATGACCCTCTGAATGGATCGCGACGGGCAGCTACCTGCACGTAGCACAAGTTATCGACACAACGGATCCAATCCTTTTGCCTGCCAACGTCGGACGAAGTGCCTCACGTGGCGCCATTTAGAAGCTGAACTAGCTGGCCTGTGAAGCTCTGCCTCATCCGCCATATCCACCGGACTTGTCACTTCCAGACTGTCGGTTTTTAAATACTCGAATCACTTCACTCGAGGAGATGAAACTTCAGATGAAAATGTTTTGGGGAATTCTCCGGCTCCAGAATTCTTCGGAAGTAGTATCAACAAGCTCCTGTCCAGTCGGCATAGGTGTTTGGTTGCCATCGTAAATTGTCCAGTTATTAACGTCTTCCCTCAACAAGTATTCAAATTTAACCATCAACGATTGACATATTTTACGCCATATTATGCGTCAGCACGGCTGTCACGGTCGACATACATGGTATTGCGTTCATAATGCTCGATGAAAACCAGCACTGTCTGAACAATGTGGTTGTGACTTGCGCGCCAGTAAGTTTTGTTTTGGTGAGGGCACTTCGGACAGCAGCTACCTCGCTCTCTTTCCACACAACACCTGATGGTTAAGCAGCATTAAAAAACGACTGCGAATGGACATGGAGTCGGCGGCTGACGAGACCGAATCCACGACTGCGCCTGCCACGCACGGAGACCTGTCGTCGGAAAAATAGTTTCTACATTGGGAAGGAGTCTATGCATTCTAACCCTCGCTGCAGAGTCGGGCAACCTTTCAAGCCACGACTTTTAGGGCGACGCAGGATTCTGGTGCCTGTCGCAGTTATTTTGGTGAGAGGAGCCTGTGCTATACGCTTATATGTCCGACAGATGTGCTTTTTCGCTCTCCTATCAAATATCGGTGGCAAGTCCAAGTCAAGCCGACTGGAACTGCAGACAGGCTTGGTGGCTGAAGTTGGGAGGGGGGGGGGATTAAAGTCACGTCCAAAACATGGCATACGCTTCTCTTTCTCCCCTTTGATGCCAGCGCAATACCTCAAGCCGTTATGGCCCCCGGCACACCAAAAACACACTTTTTGCAACCTTTGTTTGTTGAAAGAGTCTCTTGTTTTAAAATCAGGCATAGACAGCAGAATTTATTGGAACCAGTAAATTTCGCGACAGCTTATCAACTGCAGCCTGTCGTTGCATAACACAGATAACAAGTAAGAAAGATACAGAGGTTTGAACTTCCACAGAGGAAATCAATGTAACACGGCAAGGTCATCGTATACAGCACGTAGACTAATAAATAAAATGGTAATTTGAAAACGCAACATAGCAAAGAAAATGGGAAGTTTATACGCCGAGGTACGCCGAGGGATTTCGTGAATCAAAAGGACTCAGATCTACCAGGGCAAGCTGAGGCTGACCACGTGGTCTAACTGTTCACATAGGTCGGGTTTCTCCCGCCGTATATAGGCTGCCTCCAGGTAGCGCAGTAACCGAGTTGTTCGTGCTCGAACTCATACTCTAAAAGATGTTTTGGGGTCAACCGAATGACCGCTATGAAGGAGGTGTTTTGTAATAAAAGACCGTGGAATCTTATTCTCCTGCTTTAGAAGCTATTTAGGCGCGTGCTCAACTGAACTGGCTACCAGCTGCCTTTGCGTTCGCCCAAAGTACTTGCATCCACAAGTGCATGTAAATTCGTAAACACAATTTGACGTAGCATACAATGGCAAGGCATCCTTCGACCGTTGAACTTCGATAGTCTTAGTAGGGCTGCGGAATATGAGTTCAGCTGAGTTGTATGTTCTTTCAATGGCGCATCTCAATCGCCGCTTGATGGTATTTTATATGTTGTCACTCTTAAAGGGTAAGGATATTACAATGGGCCTTTTCGGAACTGATTGCTCCGTCAATTTTGGCCGTAGAATGTTGCTATACCTTTCGATGAATCGTGTTGGATATCTCCGTTTAAGCCTGCTTCAAATTCATTCCGGGGAAATATTGCTTCAAGTTCCTTGTTTGTATCTTTGTCCATCCCGATAGGCTGCCGGGGGCTCCTCGTTGGTTCAGCAGCAGCAACAGCAACAGAAACTTCTGGCTCTTCACGCCCTTAGCGCTGCTGCCCAACAACAACAACAGCAGCAACAACAACAACAAGTGCAGAAGCAGCAACTGGGCGTTTCCACCTCGTCCGCCGAAGTGATGGCTGCTCTGAACTCTGCCGCCATCCAACAGCAGCAGCAACAACAACAACAGCAACAACAAATGGCAGCTGTGCAGGCACTCTATCAGAATCAGCAACAGGCAGCCCTGGAGGCCCTGCTGTTGCAGAATCAACAGGCCAACCTCCTCAAACGGTTCTTGCGGCTGTCGTAGTCCGTTTAGCATGTGGCCTGTGATAGCTTTCTCTGTACATATATGCATGTGTATATCCACCCGCTCCAAAATTTCCTTTTTATTTTTTTCTTTCTCTGGCCTATGGCATATGCCCTCCGCCTTCTGTCCCCCCGGCTTTTTATGCGATTGTTTCTGTTTGCCCTCTTCATCTTTGAACAGAATTAAAATTTGCCATTTGGAATCGTCTCCTCTGTCGAAGTCATTCCAGCCCAGGGGGCATACCTGCCGCGTCCTATTGAAGGGGTTTTGTTCACGGAAACCGCTTTTGCCTGCCGTCTTGGTTGATAGATTACGATTAGAACAGCTTCTATCCCGAGAGAGTCGACCGACTCGCTTCAATTTTTGAGCCTTGAATAACAAAGCCGCAATCATGTGACCAACTCCTGTCGTCCATCCATGCCGTGACGTTTTTCAAGCCTAATCGCCGATTAGCGGTTGGATTAAATGGCACGTCTGGCGGAGTTTTTAGGGTTGGGGATCTGTCCAGGCAGAGGCATGCTGGTAGGTAGCTTGTGGAGCGTTTCAGGTCGACCATGTGTTACAGAAATGACTTCCGACAATAAGGGTTAGTCCACATGCGACTGATCCTGATTGATGACCCAGGGAGCATAGCATTTTATCAGACGATACGGAGAGGTTCCAGACGATGTGGTCCTAAAGTAGACGTGTCGAGGTACATCCCCCAGGGTGTCGGTACTTCGTCCCCCTTGTGTTCGGTCCGCCTAGACAGAACCCGACGTCCAATTGCTTCGCACCTCCAAGAACTGTATTCGGAACTGGCTCTGTCCCAGTCCAGTGACCTAAACTGTCTAGGACTGTCCGGTCGGTCGTTTCCGGGCATTACAGTGTGTAAACCGTCCTCAGACCTCCGCCTATCCCTTTCGTGCTTGACACTAAGGGCGGGTTGGAACGAGGTACGGTGTGCTGGTATCTAGAATTCCCGAGAGCCAGGTTTCTATGACGCTTAAGTTTGTAGGTGGCGCAGGACTCACGGGCGATTTATTCGTTCCGTCAAGGTGCAGGTCTATATCGCCAGTGAGCTCGTGTCATTATAATATTTGAGCACTGCATTGGCATCACTAGTCGCTGACAGCAATGCCACGCTTGGGTGAGTCCCACGTGTGTGGAATTGAAGTGACCAGGGCGTCATCGTTCAGTTGCAATCCATGTGGTCAGGGGATCTGCACGCCAGTTGGTTTGAGGGGATGGGGTTTCGGCTTACTCCCCATGTTCCGTCTTAATCACCTACTGCGGGATCCCACCGCCCCGTTAATGCCGTTTCTCTCAGAAGCTGGGGATTTATGTGGCTGAATGGTGGCTTTTTGTCCATTTCTGGCAAATGGCTCTACATGCTTATCAAGCTCGCGTGTCTTTTAAGGAGTTGAGACTTCCGTTCGAACGATAATGGGCTTTGTTTTGGTTGCTTGCGCCTACCAGCGGGCAAGAGTGACGCTTCAAATGTGGTGTCATCGGGCGGGGGGCAGATCGGTGGGGTCTGTGACTGAGGGAGTTGATTAGACGTCAGCGAACGCCGGAGGATGGCGTCAAAGGGCTGGCAGGCCCTGTTTGCACGGTCCAAGGCATGTGTGAGAAAGTGTTGCCGCATTCCTATATTCATCGGCAGGGCGCCTCCGACACATAGGCGCTCTCCTTTGGAGAGCAAGAGCGGCTGACTCCGACGGAATGTTGGTCCGCACGAACCTTCTCTTGGTGTCCCCGACGTAGGGGGAGACGGAGACCGCTTGTGGCACACAGGTGTTGGCAGTCTTCCTATCGTCACAGTCTCCTCTCAACTGGTCTGGTCGCTCCCTTATAGGCGGGGCGCGTAGTGATGACGGCGACCGATGTGGTCTCGGACGAAGTCCCGCCAACGGCGACTTTGCCGTTTCGCTCGGCGTGCGCACCGGGCGCGAATCACTGAAGTCCGCACGGCGCCTTGGCCCTGCTTATTCGTGTATCCTCTAAATACCCCTGGAAGGAAGACTGAGTGGGAGGAATTGTGAACCGGCAAGGCGGCCGCACGGCTCAAACGCTCCTACGGTCTTGCCGTCTCCTCGGGCAGTGAACTCGCAGATCGTCCAAGGGGGCATGGCATTTTCAGGACGCCTTCTGCCGACAGGGAGACTGCGAAACTCATTTCTGCATCGCAGGAGGGCAATATAATCCTGCCCCGTGAATCGTCAAATTGTCGCGTCTGCAGCTGGTTCAGTAGTTTTGATATGCGCAAGTCGAGTCGACCACAACCGCCTCGCGGCGAGTTTTCGATTCCGAAATAACTAGAATACTATGAATCCGGAGAACCTCGTTTGATAATAAGTGACTTATTTTCTGATGCCGCTCAAGTCCTCTCGACAACGCGGTTAATCATTCGAAGTTTGATATGGTTATCGTTGTACAGCCCGGAGACAGGGCAGTTAGTTTCAGTTGCGTCGCATGTAACGATTAACTTTAGAATGCGGATTGAGCCCTGATTATTAGGTGTGTCTGAATCCGCGCTCTGAGGTGACAGTTGGTATTACAACTGAGCACTATACTCACTAGTCCACTTAACAACGGTATACTATCGGGAACAGGACAGTAGAAAAAGAGACTAAACGATGTGACCGTTATTCTGCTCCCGCATAATCAGGCGGAAATGTTAATCACAGGCTCCTAGACCGTCGTGCTGACCACAACCCCTCCAGCTATTTCATTTTCATACGCAGCTTGGGAATTCATGAGTGTACTTAAATTTTCTTAAAGAAGTTTTATTAGTTCATATTGAAATGCATAATTTTGTGGATTTGGCAGACACCCACACTGGTGACACCCCTTCCGCCAGTGCTCACTACCAGTCGTTTATCCGCTCGGACTCAAAAAACTGCCCGATCAACTGTGTGTCCTCGAAATCTGACCGGACAATGCACTGTTCTGGTAGGTGGTGATCGATGACGCACCCTGCAAAGGCACACAAAATTCTTCTACGACCATGCTTGAGATATTTTGCAGGCACTTAGCGTCCACTCCGCCCAGTATGTTGGTTTGTTAAGTTGGGCGAGGGCCCGCTTATTTCATGCCTGACTAGGTCGGTTGATGGCGTTCACAGTTGTTGATAAGGGGCTTGTCGCCGGTGTCGCGAGTTAGGTTTTCGGACTGTCTCCTGTGCAGAGATACCTGCCCGTTGCCTTGCCGTCTTGCGGAATACAACTGTAAGGATCAGGACGAGGAAAATGAACAGGCAGAAATAAAAGGATGCAGTGAAGGAATAGAGGGGTCGAGCACTGGAACAGTTTGCTTATTGCCCTGAGCCTTCGGACTCGTGCAGGAGTCCATCGTCAGAGATAGGGGCAGCAACAGAACAGGCGAAAGTTATAGGACATGTTGGCCAATCATCGACCGACGGCGCAAGACTGGATGTGACTGCGCAAGGCTCTGTACGCCGGCGCTAGATCGATAAATCGACGGATTGAGTTCTCATCCAAGGTTCAGACTTCAATCAATTCTCAGCCGGCTGGAGTGACCTATGAACAAGTCACGGGAACTCCAATGGTCTCAGCGGTCTCCGGTTTAGTGCAGAACTGGTCCTACAGGAGTTAGAAAAGATTGTCTTCATCCAACATGAGCCAGTATTTTGGCACTGTTAAGTAGACGATACGTCTGTCATTGTAAAGAAGAACATGCTACAACATTTCCATAACCTGCTAAACACAGTCTTCCCTGATAAAAAAAGTTACTTGCGAAGAAGAACAAGAACAGCAATTGCCCATCTTGGATGTGCTCGTCAGATGTAACCTTAGCGGTGAACTTGAAAAGACGGTTTATAGGAAGGCAACGAATACCACACACAGCTTCTCATTTTTCACAGCAACCATCCGGTGGCTCACAAACGAAGCTGTGTGAAGACGCTCTACAAACGGATTTCCTGTCTTGTCAACTGGCTGTGCTCTTACACCACCTTACATCTCTCGAAATTGTCTGTGTCCCAGCCACTTTTCCTCATTTCCCTACGTTGCAGTCATGTGTTCGTGCATCCTTAGCGAGCGATGGTTCTTCCCGAATGCCCGGCACTAAAACACTAACTCACTCACTGAGTAGGCTTCCAACTCCGAGCATAGGCTAGTGACTAGAACGACGAGGTAAACATAGAGTTTGACATTCACGTATAATACGTAAGCAGCTCACTAGTAATGCAACAAGCTGGACGCAACCAACTGTTACGCGGTCGTTACTCATAGTCACTACTTCGCAAGACATATTAAGTGAGGCATATAGACATGTCAATTAAGTGTTTGACCCTCACTTTTGTGGTTAGCATCTCACTCGGTCCCATTCTGTTCGCCCGCCAGCTTGCTACTGACGAACGCTGTGTTACAGGGCGCATACTACATATAATGCGTAGTCAGCTCACTAAAAGTGCAACAGGCCAGACGCAGACAGCTGTTTCGTGGTCGTAGCCGATCATCAGTACGTCAGAACAGCGTTCGTTGTGGCCAGTAGCAAGTTGGCGGGCGGGCGGGCAGGCGGACAGAGTGAGATCGAGCAAGATTCTAACCAGTGATGGTCACCCGCTTACCTGACATTCTTTAACTTATTGATGATGAGTTTGGGCAAGGGGCTGAAACAGTAAACAGATGTACAGACTTCGTCGGAGAAGGAGATATCTTCTTCTGCTTCTGACGCTGCTACTTTTTGCAAGAAATTAACTCCTTGGGTGGAAATATTCTGTTTTGTTGTTTCTAGCACGCCTGCAGTCAATATCTTCAGAGTGCCTCCTGTCGTCTGTGCACTAATAAATCCGTTCACTTGCCATCTTTTCAACGTCATCCGGCACGGACATGACAGCAGCCCCCCTGAAGGTACAATTTTGTGCCAGTTTATAGGAGAAACAAAAAAGACGAATCGTTAACGAGAGGACGATGGAGACCAATTAGTTGACAGAACAGTCGTCCTATTTTAGTCCTCATATGTGCACTTGGAGGGAGTGTGTCAACCAAGTCAGT